TGTGTTTTCATGGACATATATTTCCATATATATAGTTGTGTAACTTCGCAAGTATGCGTGAAAGACCCTGTTATTTATACTATACCAAATAGGATGAAATTACATCAAAAATTACAAACGCACACGTTGGACACTCTTTTTGACACATGCCGAACTGAAACACTCCAAATACCTGAGGTTCCCACTCTCTCACGGAGTACCAGGAATCAACCTCGCTAGACATATGGAATCCCTGGTTGCAGCATTGTCACTGGGTATCGCCTCTTTCCGCGCTTATGAGTTCCATGGCTTCAGCTGGCGACACCCCCGCAACCGACTGGTGATGTTCAAAACATTCATCAATATTTCCTGAACCACTACAGCGACTATGAGAGCCATACCATATGTTCATACATTGTATCATACATACCTGCCATTTTTGAAATAAATAATATTATCCCTATCCACGGCTACATATGGGCTGAACATTATTGCCTGGGCTCCGACTATATGGAAAGATGCGTTGGACCCCCTATTCGAGCGCTTTAACTCAGCACTCATTCAAGCAGTAGCCATCATCACGGGCACTAAATACCCTAGGTTTCCCAAACATCAAACAAACTTACTTCACTTTTGCGGCCTGCTCCCCGCGCGACCATTCGCGGACTACTTCGGAGGTTGCCTGGGAATACAACTCGACTCAATGGCAAGCACAAATCCACTTACCCCTCTGACGCAACCCCCCTGGGCCCACGATAAACCATCACTGCGCTTCCCGTACAGTATCTATGCTCACCTGAAAACTGTACACAAAACCACGGTGGGCGTATACCCGACCATGTAGCCCTCCGCCAACGCTGTGACGACATCAGGAAGAACTCAACAAAACGTTGGTCCAACAAAGAGATCGCGGCAATGACCCGGCGCCAATACTACTACCAACTGGTTATGGGTAAACCGCCAACCTCAAACCGAGACACAGCCAGACACGACAGCTTCAATCGCAGCTTCAAGTCTACACCAATCCGGCTCTGTGCTATGATTGTAATAAATACATACATGTTCACATTGCTCGACTACCGCACCGACGGCTGTCTCTGCCCTGTCTGCCCCGGTAGCCACAAGTTCACTACTAGCCACTTTACCTGCATCCAACAACTGATTCGACGCATCCTGGTAGGCCCGAAACTGCCGCCCATTGGCCCTGACTTTCTTCAGCAATTACAGGAGTGCCACGAATTCCACGGTATCTGGACCCTCCACGAACACCTTGGATCTTTTCTCCAGCATGTTGAAGAATCACAGTACTCTCACCCGTCCCAGATAAATCAACAGATGTTTCCCATACCCCGGCTAATCACGCTGTTGAAATACTACTTCTAAATATCGGTTCAAACCAAATAATCGGGCTTGTTGGTTCCGACTATGATACTTCCGATCCAGGCCAGCCAACACATACCAAATTCATCCGTGGTCTGGTGCGGCATTGGCTTACCCCCATCCTCGCTTCTCGACCGGATTATGACGGATAACCTGGTCCTTCTCGGTATTTCGTACTCTGCACTAACCCATTCCGCGGCACTACACGGCGCAGACCCGATCCGTACCACAGAGATGGGTACTCTACTTAGTAGGTCAGCAAGCAAATATATGGAACATTCGATAGTAACAGTATTTTGTCAACACCGGCCCGAATTGACTCAGCACATATCTTCCATTGTCAACTCACTTGGCCCAAGCTTCAAACGGGAATTTACTGAACACTTCTTCCCATCAATCTTTCCTGAACCACTACAGCCACTATGAGAGCCATTACATATGTTCATAAATTGTATCATACATACTTGCCATTTTTGAAGAAAAAAAATATTATCCCTATTGTATTCGGGTGATACCCGAAAAACGCTTTTTTACAATACATGGCAGTTTGATATTTTGTCTTCCGAGCGCATCCTGGTTACAGTAGACGTAATCCACACTTGTCACATATCCTGCCAGAAGGGACATTGTGAACTTCATATTTCACAGGCATACAAAAAATTGTTCACACCTATCAATAGTATTGTCCTTGAGCTCTGTTACCAATTTCAGAGCTATCGTACCAGTAGTATAGCGTCTATTGTAATTTAACCTGTTTCCGCTCGATGCATGTTGATCACCTTTTTCAATTAAGGTGGCAAATTGTTACCAATTTGAGAATTGATTGATTTCTGGAACAAAAAAAGGTGGCAAAAAAATTTATTCCAGTTTTATACTTGTGGTGTTGAAATACTGACAAGCAATCACATATATTATATACACAAGTCAAACACATTGTTTGTTAGTTTATTTGACTTATATACAGTGACAATATAAGCCCACATGCCGAAATATGCCACCCCAGTGCACAGTATTCAAGTGCAGCTTAATCTGTACATCTTCCTGCTTCACTGTTAAATGATCTCTGTCGAGTTCTATGACTCAGAATGAGAACATTATAAAAATGCGTGTTTAGATGTCATATAACTTATGATTTATTTATTATATAGACTATAAACCTTTTACTTTTTTAGTGTACATAAACCTAGCGTAAGCTTCATATAAATGTTCACACTTAGTAGATTACTATGCTACGTTGTACATATGTGTTGTGCATACACAAGGACTGTTTATCAATGTGTTTGTAACTTTTAGTATTTGCTATCGTCACTCATACTAAATAACAAGCTATGTCAATACATAATATTAATCTCTTAAAAGTATAATATGTGGAAATATAGGAGAAATAAATAAAATACGAGGAAATTATACAAGAGAAATAATAAATATGTAATATATATATTTATAGAAAAATAGTAAATATGAAAAATGAACGAAATATTTTGTTAGGAAAATAATATATATGAAATAAATATGCCATATATTTTTCATAAATATGCCATATTTTATAAAAATTAGTATTCCTAATTTTAAATTTGTTCATATATTTGTAATTCCTAAAATAATAAATACGTGTATAAAACGTTGAAAATAATAACATGCCCTTTTACGTTTATTTGCATGTGTTCCTCGGTCAGCTCCACACCCCAATGGGCGGCAGGGCTGAGGCGCTGAGCTACCGAGGGCGGACGTGTTGCCCGCCGCTGCATATTTTTATAGTTCTAAATATGTTCTTTTTTAGCACGAGACTATGCAAATTCTCCAAAGATGTGAGGTTCCCATTCACGCCCGGAATATTACAGGATGTTATGTTCACGAATCAATAGACTATTTAGTTTATTATGGTTCAAAATAGTCGTTATAGGCAGATTATGGCATGAATAAAGTGACAAGAATATGTATATATAAATAAAGCCTGGGAATATAAAAAAAACAGATCACACTTTTATGTGCCTGTATCAATCACAATGTCAGCTAATCTAGCACCAGTATCAGTCGGTCTGCTAATAGTTTTTGCAAGTATCATTTTCTATTACATACGTAGACGAACGGCAAGAATCATTGATGAAGCAAAAGAGAAATATGGACCAGGCACCGAACCCTGCGCTCCCGGGGATTATATGTGGAAGCTAGATACTGAGTACAATAAGTGCATGATCAGTGCCGCAATGTTGGTTCGTAATGGAACGCTCGAAGATGTCAACGCTGTCACAGAGAAGCTGATCCAGAACCCATGGTTTAGACGATTTACCGACCGTTTGGCTTTGTACGAGGACCAGCCTTTTTGGGTGAAGGATACTAATTTCAAGAAAGAAAATCATGTGCACCGGGTTCTACTCGAAGATTCTGAGAAGCCAACCAATAGTACTGAATTGAAGGAATGGATTGGACGATCAATCGTAGCTGATCTCCCCATAGACCGCCCGTTGTGGAAAATGGTAATCCTTGAGAACTACGAGAAGTGCAACGACGGCTCCGGCGACAGTATGTCATGCGTTCTCCTGATGGCGCATCATGTTGTGGGCGATGGTGTTGCATTCAGCTACATGATGATGTCCATGTTGGAGACCAAATCTCAAGTGTCGAACGATATCAAGGTAGAGAAAAAAAAGCAGGTAGCTCCAAACAAGGCACCGATGAAGCCACGTCAGCAACCCGCATGGCTTACCTGGTTGTTCGTTGCTTTGTACACAATTCCAATCGTCGGGAAAATCTTATTCGCCAAGGCAGACGTTAACCCCTTCAAAACACAAAATGTGACCGGCAGAAAGGTCGTGGGTATGTTAGACACTCCTATTCAAATGGTCAGATTCAACGCTGTTCGCAAAAAGCTAGGCATGTCTGTGAACGATGTTTTCATGGGAATAGTCAGTTGTGCTCTCCAGCGATTGTTTGCGCGTATCGAACCAAATAATGATGTGAAGAGTATCAAAGCCGCTATGATGGTCAATATGCGAAGCAACCCCTACGCCGCCAAAATGGAGAATCAATTCGCTACACCGATATTTGACATGGATGTAACCAACTCTGATCCGCTGGTAGCTTGCAAGAAGATGGTGCCAGTGATGAATACATTTAAAACAGTACCCATCGCGAAAGTTTTTTTCACATCCATTGCACTCGTAGCGGACTTGCTCCCTTACATGTTTAATCGGACCCTCCTGGACTACCTAGCCAGCAAAGCATCGTGTGTTTTAAGTAATGTACCCGGCCCTTCAGAGCCTATGTTTTTCAATGGAAAATTACTTGAGAGAATAGCAGCATGGTCCCCTCAGCGGAAAAGTGTTTCGTTCGGTATGACAATGTACACCATCGGCGGGAATGTAAATGTTGGCGCAATAATGGATACAGGAGCCGCAGACAAGGCACAGGCACTTGTGGACGAGTTTGTTGCTGTGTTTGATGAGCTTGAGATTGCATTGGAACTAGACGGCGCAAAGCTTTAAATTGTAGCTGCCTGCTATTTAAATTTTGGTTGAAGAACATATAAAGCTAGCTGCAAGTTGGACCACATTTCAAGAATATACGCAGATTGGGGATAGAGGAGCGTTCCGACAACTTCCATTACGTAAAGTTATCATTTTTCAATCCGATCGAAATAGGAGACCGCGCACATGTATTCCCGCTGAGAAAACGAGAATCCCTCGCTAGCGGATAACATGCGCCAATTTTTTTGTCAGCGTGGTTTGATATTGTACAGAAACCGTGTTATGACTAGTATCTATAAGGAATTGTATTACGTTGTATATATCTATGACTATTGTGTGCAGCTATTGATATCGAAAGCTCCATAATAGTCGCCAAGTATATCGCTACCTACTGTTGGACCACGTGATTACGGAGTACAGTACAAAGTCGAGTGTTTGCATAGGAACACATATTCTGTTGGATATGAACAGTTCTGGCGATACGGGCTAAATTTTAGTTGTTGAATGAGATGGTGCGAGTAAAGGTATTTATGGAGGGCACGTCAGCCGTATATTTTGTACGTGTAAAACCGAAGCACAATAGTTGTCGTCGTCATAGCTAATATCAGGGTCAACCCATTCACGTAACTTGCACATAATAAAGTTCAATTTGTGACAGGTCACGAAGTGTTTATATAAAAAAGAGTCGATATTAATATTGGCCACCTGATTCACTTTCAATAGGTTGTCCAAACAGATGATGTGTGATTGTCATTATTGAATGTTGCAGGGTTGCCATGAGAGGTGAAATGGAAACTATTAGACGTCCAATCAGAAATAAATACATGCAGTCGGTAAAGGGTATTTAAAAAAACAAAAAGTGAACCGTGAAGTTTGTGAACAGAAAACACTAAACAATGAACTTGTGAAGCACTGTGAAGCTAAACATAATTATTTGTAAAAGAGTATGTACATACAAGCAACGAAAGACAAAGACAGGCTTTGTATGTATTGCATAAAAAGGGCAGGTGAAGACCACCCGCTATCTTAATCTTCCTGCTGGCCCGTACAGTAAAGGAAGTGTTCAGTAATCAAAACGCATTCGGATAAAGCACTTAGCCGGTATTTTGTTGTACAAAAGCTTCAACCACGTGACGTTTTTCGATAGTTGGTAAGTAATGCAATCGCACCTGTTTACTCCTTCGACTAACTGGTCATTGGGCTTCAACACGTTCAGTGGCAAAGCTAAAATCAAACATAGCGAGCAACTTAAATATAATCTGCCAAGTGAACGCAAATTGAAAGGCCATGTTTTGTTTTTTAAGAATTTCAAAACCACTTCTCGCACATTTCAAGAACGATTCGTGGCCAAACAAGCGATACTTTTCCATTGTTGCCATATGCGTAACTCTGGGTGTGCTGCTGATACGAGAGGTCATATCTGATAAATCCAAGATTATCACTTATCATAACGATGGGGTATGCTTTAAGATTTTGTTGCTGTCAGAAGTTACTATCGCCCTCCAAAGGACATTCATTGACTTCCCAGGCTTACTCGCAGTCTCAATATTTATCTTTTGATCTAATATGTGTACAACTATAGTTCGGGGTTAATTATTGTGTGTAGACCCTGTTATTCAGATATCAAAGTTCTGTGTACATACCAGCGACCTCGTTCATGAACGCGATGCAGTATGGCTACTTTATCTGCAACAGTACAAAATATACACGCTAAATACTCCTATATATAAAATATAAGGATTTCATTGACATTAAAAAATAGTCAAAACTAGTAATACTTTTAAGCACTCGAACAACAATATTCTAGGGTAAACACACACACACACATATA